TCTAATTAAATTTACTTATTTAATATTAACACTAAAATTAATATTAATTTTTATATTTTTTTATATTTATATTAAAAAAAACATTCTTAACCTCTATTTTAAAAACATAGGTTAGAAAACATTAATTATTACTAAAGTAAAAAAAAAAGTAAAAAAATATCACTCTATTCAATGGATTATTCTACCATCAATTAATATATTACAACTATATATGTTTAAAAATTGTGGAGTACATTTTTTGCTGCATTTTTCTTTCCATGAAAACTTGGGATAAAAACCAACATTTAGCTCCTTACCTTACAAAATTGGTAGGTTTTAGCTCTCACCTTATAACATGACAGTTTTAGCCTTTTATCTTACAAAGTTGGTAAGTTTTAACCCTTCACCTTACGAAATTGATAGATTTTAACCATTTACCTTATATTATGATATTTTTAACCTATCACCGATACGAATTAAAGAAAATAACCCTCACCTAACATTAGGTTATAACGTTCTATTAGTTCTGTTAATTGGCTGTTAATATCTGTTAGCATTCCGTTATAAAAAATATAAAATTTAAATTCAATTTTATTTGTTAGGTTCATTAACGAAATGCTAACGGATGCTAACAGTCAACTAACAGAACTAACAATTAGCTAATAAAATTAACAGTTAGCTAACAGAACTGACAATCAATTAATAGAATTGATAGTCAGCTAACAGAACTAATAGAACATTAAAACCTGATGTTAAATAAGGACTATTTTCTTCAATTCATATAGATAAGGGGTTAAAAATGTCATAATATAAGGTGAAGGCCTAAAACCTACCAACTTTGTAAGGTAAAGGGTTTAAAGTATCATATTATAAAGTTAGGGGTTAAAACCTACCAATTTTGTAAGATGAGGGGCTAAATGTTGATTTTAGCCAAAACTTGGATCGTCGGTTTTCCCTTTTTTTTTTTTTTTTTTTTACCCCTTCTAGCCATATCTTGCAACGTTTCCATTTCCCTTTTTTAAGTAATTAATAAGTAATAATAATTAATAAGAAAAAAATGTAGAATTTTGAGAAAAAAATATAATGTAAGGGTAACATAGATAATTATATTAAAATAATATAGTACTAATTATTTTGGGGTGACAATAACTTCACTTTTTTGTATTATCTTTTAAAATTTTATTAATACCATTTTACAAATTTTAAATAGTGATTATATAATATTTGTAAAATTCAAGTATGAAACTTTATTTTTTTAACAATATTAAAGCTATTCATGTAGAAAGAGTTAAGTATGAAAAATAATAAAGTTAGCAAAAATAAACTTAAATTTAAATACATACAAAGCTGAGCACAAAAAAAGTCATCTTTTCTCCCTTTTACGAGGTGATGTTATTATCACGCTTTCAATTATTATGTCACATTTTTTTATTTTAATTAATTATTATATTTTTAATTTATTAAGAAAAATATATAGAATTAAAAAATAATGTAAAAGTATGATAGACAATTATATTAAAATGATATGGTATTAACTATTTAAAATATAATAATAACCTAATCCCTTTTATATTATATCATTCAAGTTTTATTAATATCATTTCATAAAATTGTACTTATTTTTTTTTAATTCTAAGTTTTATTCAATTAATTATTTTAGATTTGAA